GTGTCTTATTGTTTTATTAGTGACACATTAATTATCTGACAATTATATGTTGATAATTAACTGTTAGTTACTGAAGTGTAGATGCAGGATCCATATCAGATATACAACAGGTGAACGTTTACCAGTTTCTGCGCCATTTTCTATACCTATTTTGGAAAAAAAAAATCTATCCCCTCCACTGGGACTTCCCTCTCCCAAGCATATAGAGGTAACCTCCCCTTCAGGTGTGTTCCAAACAGTCTCTTCTCATGGTAATGCAGTTTTCCTGTTTGCTCAGACCTCTTGTGACAAATGCAGGCAGTCAAACTTTAAGTATTTATTGTATATCTCAGAAGTACCATGGGCAAATGACCTTGGGTGAAGCCATAGGTAATTTCATGTGGTTATGTACGTTTTCCAGCTTTTCCTTAACTGGGTGATGAAAGGTGGAACTCTGAAAGTACCCATGCTGGTTTAGTAACAGATTTTAATTGTTGGAATAAGCCATTTAATCTTTTACCTTGTGGGAAAACCAGGAAGGTCTTTGCTTGGTGAAGGCTTATAGATCCCCTCTTTAGTTCTGTGCCTTCCAGTGAAGTGACACTGTTCTTACTGAGTAAAGTACAGCTGTCCCAGATTTAGCAGTTACCTGTCCTGCCCATGACCACGACCATGAGCACTGAGGTCTTACGTTTTGGATGACTGATTTTTGATGCTAGAATTCTAAGATGTGAAGGAAGCACAAATGTATTATTAAGTATTGTGTGCACTGCTGGCATAGATTTGAATTCTTCCCTGACTTTTTTTCCCCTCAAGTTTTGTGGTTCCTGGAGCTATCACTATGAAACTGACTGGGCTTAGAGTGGTGCTGGGGTTTTAATTTCCAGACAGGCATAAAGATCTAATGTACACATAAAAATGAGAGCAGGTTTATGGTTCAAGTACAAAAAATTGAAAACCACTGAAATTTGTTGTTGATGTCGATCAGATTGGATACTAAATTTAAACTGTGCTAGCTAAATGAGGCAGGAGAAGAAAAATGTAAACTAAATATGAAGCGCTTCCATCTGGAAATAGGAGAGAGATTTGGAAGACTGCTTTTTGCACATGTCTTGATGTGATTAGGAAGAGAACGAGACTTCTTGCCCATGTTGCTGAGCCTTATTAAATCTTGGTAGACAAGGGGGTATGAAATGACAAAAGCAGTAACTCTGTCTTGCTGAGCGTGGAATGGAAGAGCTGGCCCTTTGAATATGATACTGGCTAAAAATAGCCCTGTTCAGGATAGCATATTTAATGAATGAGGCAGTGTTCTTCCAAAAGAATACTGTAGGGTCCTTCAAGACTTTATGGAAGTAGAGCTGTGAAAATCCTAAGTGTACAGAGTAAGCAAGGTTCGTAGGAACAGATATTATTTTTCATTAACCAGCTGGTATAACTGATGAACATGGGGTAAAAAATAAAGTGCATGGGTGTGGAAGCTAATTTTTAAATTTTGAATGTAAGTAGGAAAAACCACCCCAAATTAAGGGCAGGTTGAAAACAAATACTTTGATCTTACACTCAGTTTTGCATTCTATGCTTCATCTGTGTCAGGACCCTGATTGCATCTCTCTCTAGGAGTTTAGTTAGCAGGGTTCAACATCATCTCCTTCGTAGGCAGAAGCTGTTGGGAAAAAAGCTAGAAGGGCCTGACACTACTTTCCTTTTTGGAACTGCTTTAATCTGATGCTTTACTGTCTGTGCTGTACCACAGCTGGGTAATCAGGTGTGTCTGTGCCTGTCTTGTACTTTCTTGATCCTGACCTAGACCTGGACCTGGTGGCTGGGCTTTTTGACCTAATCTTGGACAGACTTGTAATCCCTGGATTGCATCTGGCCCTGATCACTGTCTCCAGATCCAGCCCTGACTTGGACATTGCCACTGCACAGTCCTGACTTACTGCTCTCACCTGCCTTGTTTTCATGCTCATTTTGCAGCTTACCTTCCCTTGCAGAACCAGCTGGTCTTTTCCATTCTCTCACAATTTGAACCTAAAACACAAATTTATTGAACAGTTGTAACTTAAATGGGAAAACTACACATTATCTCATTTTTCCAGCCTTTTAGCAAGATTTTTGTGAATAGTAAGCCATGGAAAAGGTTGCTCACATAGGTACAGTCTTCATGCTTGGAGGTTTTTAGAGATTGTCTGGATAAACTTCTGTGTTATTTATGTGGGACTGGGTAAAACCAATTTGTTTTTTAATCTTGTTTTAGTAAGTAGGGTCTTTGCTTTTTTAACACTTTGTGCAAAAGTTGAAGTTAAAAATACTCCAGTATTGTCAAAAATGTATTAAATTAATACATTTTGTCAGAATGCTTCTTATTTATTAAGATATTGCAAGCTCAAGAACCTCTTGATGAATTTTTCAATGAGCTTGAATGGTTGATTGTGTTCTCTTAAGCTCTTGAGTTGTCGTCCACATCTTGTCACTCATCAGTAACTTCTCAAAAGTATGCTGTATCTTTATCATTTCCACTTACCCTTCAAATGCAGTGAGAATAGAAACAAATGAGTTGATTGTTCCTCTTAACTAAAGCAGCTCCTAAAAAATCTATTTTGCAGCAAATATGTCTTAAAAATATTTTCATTACCTTGGATGAAAGCTTATAAATGAACAAAAATTCCACATGTTTATTTATTAGTGTGGGTTTCTTTCCATCCTTAGTGCAGTATATCTGCAGAACAAGAGAAGGAAAATACAGTCTCAAAACCTTTAAGACTTGTTTATACTTTTTATCATTGGAAGAAAACAGAATAGGTTTGTACATTTTTAGAATCATTTATATCTAATTCATCTTGCCTCTAGGTAAAGAGATGGACTGAGTGATGTTTTCAAATGGCTTGTAGCTTTCTCTTGTTATGATTTCAAAGCATTGTAGGGTGATTTACATTGGAGAGGACTCCAGAAGGCCCATAGTTCCATCCTGTTTTCAGAGCAATGTCAACTGTGAGGTTCAAACCAGATTGCTTGGGGTCTTGAAACCTGCAAGGGTCTGTCTGCAGACAGCAGAACCTTGGCATCCTGGGGAACCTTCTCATCCCACTACATGTGAGAAAGAGCAAGAATAAATGCAGTGCTGCAGTGCATGTCACTGGTCCTGCAGAACAGGGCACAAAGAGTTACTCCCCTTGGGGAGGCAGTGAGGGCAAGAAGAAACCAGGAAGGAACAATGCTCTCCGCCCTTCTCCTCAACAAACTGAGTTCCTTCTACACCGAGTTCACTCCCTCTGTCTTTGACTTTGTTTAAAATGATGTAGGTATAGAACAAGGTGGAGTAAACAGTGTTAAAGAGATGTTTCAGCTCTTCGTGGCATGAGCATGATCTCCTGATGTCTCAGCTTTTCTACTCTGCACACATCATGCAGAGAAGGAGGGAAGTGAAAAATAAGTTGTGGTGGGGAAAAGACCTGATGTTGTGGACAGGCACGGGGGAAAAGAAGGCAGGTTCTCTCCCTACCTGTCCCTGTCAAACCTTCGTTCATTGAGGAGAAGCACCCTGCCCTGCTTTCAAAGTGCTACACTTGACCTTTCTGCTCTTGCCATGACCTCAGTCTATACCCCTTAAACCTGAGGAGTAGCCTTAATTTACAGCTTTCTTTTCCAATCTCATCTTACACGTTCTAGGGCACAGATACGCCTTTTCTTTAGCTGCTCATCATTAGTTATTCTTTGCTCTGTTCCTGTCATTGCTTAAAATTACACTAAATGCATAACAGTAATTTATTACACTGGTGCAGTGTAACAGTAATTTACTACAGTGGTGCATGATGAAAAACAAAATGAGGAAGACTGACGGTCATAAGTGAAGATTTTTCTGCTGTGTGATGTCTTTGTAAAATTCATACCTTACTGCCCTCTTTACAGCTTCAGACTCCCCTTACATGTTGAGGACATCTTCATGGTAGGATCCACGAGGACAGTGACTACTTATAATGAACTCTGAAGGGTTCTGTCAACATGGATGGCTTTCTCCTCTTAGATTTTAGAGCTGTTTCAGGAACATTTTTTTTCTTTTTACTGTCACTGGTAGCTGCTTAGTTATGTACCTGAAAAACTACCTATTTTTGGTGCTTTTTCGTGCGCTCTGGACTCTGTGGCAGATGTGTATATGATGATAGCACTCCTTTCCTGGGGTAACTGGCCATTCTGCCTTAATCACAGGGTGTATTTGCTGCTTTAGGTATTTGAGTAAAGTTAAATACTTGGGGATTTTCAGTCAAAAACAGTTCCTTCCATTTTATATTATTCCTTGGTATTTAGTGGTTTTGATCACTGGAAAACTACATAAAATACACAAGTCTTGATACTTTACTTGCTGTATGTTCCTTCTTTTTTCATTTACTAGGTTTTAAATGTCTTTTATTGATGATTCAGGCTATCTAGGCTGACTTTTGGTCCATTTCAGTGCAGTCTTTTGTGGTATAACACTTGGGTAGCAGAAACCTTTCTATATTTTCCTATCTTAATCTGTTTACATGCAGACACTTGTGCCATGGGACAGGCAGGTGGGCGATGTAATGTTCCATTACAGCTCTAAATTAGAGTCCTGTTGTCTCTAAGGGCAAGAAATATTTATTTCCTGGTGTAATTTTAGGCAGCAGTCCTAAAATCTTGTGTTTGAAGCATGTGTGATGAAAAATGCTTTTTTTCATTAGTGCAACTGAAATCAGAAAGTGTAGGCGCTTTCTTTAGATTATTTTTAATGTAATTTATTAAACAATAGTCATGTTTATTTGCAGACAAAATATGCAAAATAGCATGCTGTTTATGCCTTCATTAGTCTGTAAATCCTAAATAAAAGCATTTGTTTGGTATGCTGTTTTATTAAAATTCAGATGTAAAGAATACAGCTGTACTCTAAAGTGGCTTAAAGAGTAAGTCTTTAAATGGCGCAACAATTAATATTATTCTAATGTATTCTAAATGTGTCTTTGGGGGTATTTGAGTATTTGCAATTTTATCTCTATTTTCAGGGAAATTCAAATGGCATTGCTACTGTGGACGTTTCAGCAGGTTTTGTGGGACTGGAAAGCTATGTGGAGATACCAGCTATCTTCCTTACGGCGTTTGCAACATATGCGGGACCTTTTCTTTGGGCCATTCATCTGCTGTGCTACTTAAGTTCTGAAGTTAGCAGGTAATCATGCTTTGAACTAAAGTAGTGCTCCTCTGTGTACTGCAGATATAAATACCATCCATAAAGTGTATGTTTTGTCAAAGAAATAGTTTTTGGTCACGTAATTTTTTTTTTTCCCTTTGAAGTTAGTTTTCTATTAAGAAAATGCATGTTCTTTCTTAGGCATGGATTTGTATCACCTAACTCTTCCAGTTTCATTTTATTTGCAGAAGTTTTGTGCTGGGAATATGCATGTATGTTTCACTAATTTTTTTTCTCTGAATGCGTTCTCAGTTTGCTGTGCTAAATTACTTAAAATTTTATTACGTTTTGTTGTGACAGCATGTTCTGCCTGAAAACATTCTTCTCAGAACCTATTGAGTCAGAGAACCAAGAAAGACTTTTTAAAGGAATAGAATAGAATTCAGACTTAACTAACATGGTGTTCTTTGAATGTCTGTCCTTCTTTGACATAGTGACATGTAACATTTTATGAATAAACCATACTTATATTATCGTATGTTACTGGTTATTGCAGTCATTTGTCGATAAAATATTTGTGCTTTGTGTATCTTGTGTGGCGGATAAGTTAAAATGAGTTAGTGCTTCAGAGTTTTAAGAAGACAGTTGAAAAATGCCTGGTAATTTAAGAGTGTACATGTAAAATCCAATTGGACTCTCTAAAATTGTTTTTAACTCCTTATTCAGGGTACTCAAAGGGAGTGATGCAGAATGTTAAAATAGACAGAGGAGTTGTGAGTTCTTTATTGTATCCTATCAATGCCAAAATTCAAAAACTTGATATATTTTCACAGAAATAACATTTGACAGTGACTAAATTCTTACTATCTCAGAGTCTTTTCTCTGTTATCTGTGGAATTGAAATGCATTTTTTTTAATTGATGAAGAAAATGTCGCAGTAGGATTGGCAGATGGGATTTTTAGGCAGTATTGAGTTTATCACAGGTTTTTGCCTTATGCATTGTCATCCTCTGTAAATCTCTGAGTCCCTTTTATCTACAGTTTCATCCAGTCTCATTGTGTCAGTGCTTTTTGGTTTTTTGACTTTTGTCTTCTGCTTGTTTGTTTTGGGCTATGCCTACACTGTGAACTTGTGTTGGCTGATGTGTGTTCGTTAAAGGTGTAAGGAGATGGGATCCCCAGCTGATCCAGCTGCACTGTCTAGGGGGTTTTTGAGCCAGCAGGGACCTGTTCTAACTGACTAAATCCCTGCACAGTCACTGTGTTCCATCGTTCTGTATTAACAGGCACCTTTAACAGGTATTCACAGTGATTAACCTTTATTGGCTGATTTGTCTGTCTGCTATATTGCTCTCTAAAGATGTCTAGCAACTCTGCTTGGTTGCTGTGGAATTAAGCAGCCCAGTGCTGGACCGTTGTATTGCTCTAGTAATGCATACCTTAGTGTAGATTGAGACTCACTCTGAGTCTGGCCTGAGGCCAGCTAGCTTGAAGTCATTTTTGGTCTTACATAGATTGGTACGGTCTAAGTACTGGTGTTCTGGCTTCTGAAAGCCAGCCTTTTCTCTGTTCATTCTGGTATTTTTTTTGCTTCAGGAGGAGTAGATGGGGAATACACTTATTATTGATGTCTTGATCCTAAGAGACAAGAGATCCTTTTCTTGAATTTTCCTTACTGCCTGGTGACTTGACACCAGATTAAGTTTTAACTCTAACACTCCTCAGTTTAGCTTTAGTTACTCCTTTGCTCCATCAATACATTTTTCTAGTATCCAAGCTCTTCAAGTTTTCTCTGTTCTTTCAACTCTCTTTAAGAAGGGTGCTCATGTACATATAAAAAATGCTGCCACTTGTCTTCTAGGAAATATGTAACCCATGAACCCGGGTATTGCTTGCATTCTATTAATGTCCTGTTTTTCCCAATTCTTTTATACCTCTGCCATGCTTTGTTTAAAACAGTTCTGTATGGTTTCACTGTTCACAACCTTGTTCATGTTGTGTTGGGTTTTTTTTAGCAGGCCCACTTTCCATTCTTCACTGTTACACTGTAGGTGCTTTGAAACTGACACTTTTTGCTTGTGCTTGGAGGACTCTGAGCACAGTAAACTGCTCATGCTATTGTCTGGGGAGGGAAGGGGAAAGAGTAAGAGTTCCCATAATTTAAAGAGCTGCAGTTTTAACATTGTTTAAAACCTAAACTGCAGACTGTGATGAACACTAACATACAATGAAGAGAAAATGATACCATATAGCATGTTTTTTGAAAGCTCTTCTAACAAAATAATGAAAAACTTTCTGTAACAAAATCTTTATCTGTACTTGTTTAATATTGTTTCAAATAATATGCCTCTGTAGTAGTGTTGGTTGTTGTTCTGATGTTTTCTTGGTTGAATTTTTGCAGATTAAAAGCTCAGCTATTAGTGTTGCCAGGTACAGTGCTGGTTTAACCTGTGCTCAAGTGGGTAGCTACGGCCTATAATACCCACATCACTTATGTAAGTAGATTCCATTGAGCAGCTTGTGTCTGTAGCCATTTTTAAGATTCATTTGGGTCAATTGGTAAGGTTGTTTCCTCTATGGAACAGTGCACAAAAATGGACTGGAATCTCTAGCTGCTGGGACTTACTTAAATTGGTATGTTAATCTGCTCAAAACTTGGTCTGTATGCCTTTTATTTTACTCTTGTGCTTTGCCATTGCTGTCCAAATGATTGTCTCATTACCTTGTTGATATTTGTTGGAACCAAAGCTGGAAATGCAGAAGGCAGAGGATCATTTGCTTCATGTGTTTTCTTAAATGTATGGGAGACTGAACTTCTTAAAAAAACTGCTAAATGCCATAGGATATTCTTTATAAAAGCTTCTTGATAACTGTCCTATAAGCAATGTGCCTTGGTCAGTGAAATTCAAACCCTTTCCTTTTTAATGTGGTCCTGAGAGCAAGATGAAGATCCTTTCCCCACTTCCTCCAGATGGGAAGGTCTAAAAGAATCAGCTGCCCTTCTTTGTGGAGCGTGCTGAGTGGGTCCCATTATATTGCCACAGGATGTCGTCAGGATTCCTGACCCATCCTGGTACAGTCTTAGATGAATGGATGTCCCCAGAACCACTCAGCAGTGCCGTTCTTAGCAAAGAGCCTAGCATCCTGCAGGTTGACCTAGACAGGGAAAACTGACTTCAGGGCTATTTTTGTTTATTCCAACCGCTTAGCAGAGCCCATGTAATTTACAGCTGCATCTGTTGTGTTGGCTTACCAGAGCTTCTTGATGAAGTTCTTTGAGGCTGAGTTCCAATGGGCATCACTGTCTAAGGGCAAGTACACATGTATACCTTTCCCACTTTCTTCATTTTGCATTTATGAAACCAGAGAATACTTGAGTCTGGAGTCCAGCCCTCCTGTCCAAAGGAAGGTCAGCTGGAGCCAATAGGGATACTCCAGGGCCTCCTTGAGCAACCTGTTCCAGTGTATGGCAACACTTGCAGTTAACCAGTTGTTTACTGGTGTTTAAGTGGAATTTGTTGTATATCAATTTATGTCCATTGACTTTCATCCTTTCACTGAGCACCAGTGAGAAGAGTCTCAGTACATCTTCTTCACCTCTGCCCATGAGACTTTTATGAATGGTGGTGAGAACCCTGCTGAGCTTACTCTACTCAAGGCTAAACAATCCCAGCTTTCTCAGCCTCCCACTATATGTCAGATGCTCCAATCCCTTAATCATCTTTGTGAGCTTTCAGTGGACTCACTTCAGTACACCCATGTCTGTCTTGTACTGGGGAGCCCACAACTGGATCCAGAACTCCAGACGAGATCTCACCACTGCTTAGCAGACAGGAAAGATCACCTTTCTCAACCTGCTGGCTCTGCTTTTCCACCTGCAGCCCTGGGTTGTTTCATGGGAACATTGCTTGCTCATGCTCAGCTTTTTGTCCAGCAAGAGTAACATATGCCCTCTGCCAAGCTGCTTTCCACATGGTCAGCCCCAGACCTGTTCTGGTGCATGGGTTTACTTTTCCCCAGGTGCAGAATTTGGCATCTCCCTTTGTTGAACTTCTTGAGTTTCTTGTCAGTCCATTTCTGTAGCCTGTTGAGATGCCCCTGAGTGGCAGCAGACCCGTCTGCAGACCCACCTCCTGAACAGAGCACTCCTCCCAGTTCTGTGTTGTGTGCAGACTGGCTGAGGGGACACTGTCCCATCACCCAGGTCATTAATGAAGACATGAAATGGTATTGGCCCCAGTGTGACATCCTGTTGATCATTGGTGACTGGCCTCCAGGTGGACTTTGTGCGGTATCTCAATAATTTTCATTCCACCTGACTATCCACCTTTCCTAGCCTGGACTGCATCAGTTTGCCTGTGGGCATTCAGTGAGAGACATTAAGGTGGAAGTGCATTAGATACATGTAGCTCATATATCTTTGACCAGTATGGTAAGATGGAATAGAAGATAAGGAGGTTTTCAGATAATACATTTGCTTTGGAAATGTAGTTGGAAGTCCTTAAATAATTTGCTTCCATCTGATCAAACATGTGAAACTGTAAGATATTTTCCTCATATGGAAAGGTAAATATGTTTCCAAAATAATTAAGTGGCATGTGATAGACACTAACATGGATATAACTGCCACTTTTAATCTTTCAGGCTCTCCTGAGAAACTTGGCAGCTTAAATGTGATGGGATTTTCACAGACAGAAATAGAAAGAAGAATTCTTTAGGTTCAGTCTCCATGGAAACTGTGCAATAACTCTTGAAACTGTTTTTGAGACAGGGAGTACTGATTAAACTGGTGCCTGAACTTAACCAAGTGTTCTGTGTGTGACTTGCATAAATTCCAGGGAGCACCTCATTCATGTAAAGGATAGTTTTTACAGTGACTACTCTATTGGTCTGATCTGAGGTAGAACTTTGTATTTTTGGATCCTTGACTGGAAAGGGGCCATGTTGTTGGATCATCTGACCTATATTATATGGCCTCACTGTGCAGTACACTCCAGATGGATTCAGTTTTCAAGTTCCTACCCAAACAAAATTGTTAT